AAAAAAAAGCCAAATTCCAAAAACCTTGATAAAAGGAACTTCTCTCAAGTTTGAGAACTGAATTTCTTGATTTCCTATATGCATAGATGGGCCTCTAGCTTTCTCTTGCAGCTGAATTTCTTAGTTAACTTTAAGAACAAGAGTTTGATTCCAAGAAAACCCCAACAAATGAGATTTACAGGACATATTCCCACAGCAGCAGTACAAATATGTGATGATGATTTGAAACTTGATGATAAAACTGGAGGCAGAGGAGGACCAAATTACTTAGAAAGTCAATAAAAAAAAAAGTTATATGTATTTTTATTTATAGCCAGAGTATACATATAAAAAAGTATTTAATTTCATTTCTTGAGGTGAATATGTTGAAACTTCTCTCAGCAAAAGGTTGAAAACAAAGGCTCTCTGTGGGAGTTTGGGGGGGGTCTTGAATTTTGAACTTCTGTAAAAGAGTACTTTTTGTTTCACATCAAATTTCCATTTCTACTCTGCTACCAGCATCATGCCTTTCTCTTGAGGTTTACGTGATCATGAGACAAGTCACAGAGGATGTGAGGTGCTCTGAGAGACCCTTGGATGGCTGAGGATGAAAACAAGGTGTGATAAAGCACGTCAGTCCCCTAAATACCAGAATCACTGACTACAACTCTGTTTCAGTTCAGGGTTGTACTAGCAAAAGGACAGATCCCTTTGCCTTTCTTCCTGCCTTTGAGAGTGGTTTGCAACACTTTCTGCCACCGAGCAGATTGAAAAAAATCATGGAAACAGACCTGGTGATTTTACACCCTGCGTTACTCAGAGGTAAACACTATAATCAAAGCAAACTCCCATTCAATTACATTTATACACTCTTTTATATGGTAATATTACAGATGGTTAATCATCATTTTACTAGATTCATCCCCTGCTTAGAGCACATCAACCTCTGATGTTTGTAACAGTGAATGCAAAGGTGGGTACTTTGTCTTTCATGTGAGGGCAGAGTGTTGCTTCTGCAATAAATGCACTGAATAGTGGATTTCCTGCATGAGTAGAATTGATTAGCCATGACCTGGGGTCCCTTTTGAATAATTCTATACATAAACCCATAATCTCAGAAAATTTATATTGGAGGACTTCAGCTTCTTAGTTGGAAACATAGCTGAACAGCTTTTCATGGCATCTTGCTTTGTAGTTCTTATCCCTATTAGGGTGTTTTACACTCTTCTGTCCTAGGTCATATCAGAAATCTTTGTGGAAGTTTTATATTAGGAGAACATGGAAGAGTGGAAATGAAAATATCTCCCCAATACACTAAATTGTGGCACCAACATGTGAATGGTTTCATGATGCTGCTCTTTCATTATTTATCATTTATGGCTTGAGATTTCAAACATCAAATACCTCAAAGGTTTGAACATATTCCCACTGAAGAAACTGTATATTCTGCAGCTCCACTGCAAGTTCTTCTAGGGCAAGCATAAGTTATTGCTGAATGTCTTGTATATTTGCAGTTTTTAACTCACACAACAGTAATGTTTTCTTTTTCCTTCCTTCCTTTAAACTAGATTAGTGCTTTAAAAATTCAGCACTGCCTAATAAGGCTAGGTGGCTCAAGACTATATGAAAAAAATATTTGCTGAAAAACATGCCTTTAATTCTTTACAAAGCAGACATGAATTAGCCATTTGTGGCCTATGACCCTTACTACCAAATTGTTCTCAGGATTCAGGAAACTAAATTGAATTTCATCTCTTGAGAGTCAGTTTCTGCATTCACTTCAACCTCCAAAGGCAGACATAACTGGCAAGCTGTGGAATTCCAGATGCAACATCTCCTAAATCTTTCCTGCCAGTAGTCCTACTTTTTCTACACAATTATTATATGATCTCATAGCAATCATTTCTATACTTGGATGGTTTTAGCTATTATGCTTTTTGCACTGAGTGGAAGAACATCAGGGCTGAATGTCTTCAGACAAAAAGACAGCTGAATCAAAATTTCCAAATTGCTTGGTAAATTTCCTAACTCTGGATGATGAACTAAAAAAGTAAGTTTCTCTTCTGACAAGATCAATGCCCTTTCTGAGTACTTTAATCTTTGGATTAATTAATTTCTTGAATATAAACTCAACTTTTTAAAATTCAGTTGAACTGAATAACTTGGTTAGCAGCAACAATAAAAAACTGTAAATGCTTGCATATCCTTTTTGGTGATCCTCTGTGACATCCTTATAGCCTGGTAGGGGTGAAAAGGTACCAATGAAGTCCGTCCTTTATCACCAAGACAACAGAAAAGTCTTGCACGTGACAATCTTCTAAGCAAGATTAGTTTACTTAGGTATTTCAAATTGTCTGGAAACTACAGAGAGTAAAGTATCAACAGCGTTCTCCTAAATGTAGGAACATACATTTTGCAGAGCTCTGTGAGGAGTTAAAGTTCTTGTTAATAGTCTGGATTGCAGAACTGAACAAATGTATTACACTCGTATATGACAGTGGAAGGTAGCCTTAAAGTGTTTTTAACAAACTGGATAAATATTTTGGAAAAAGAAGTTCTACTCAATAGAGACAGCACAAAATGGAGAAATATTCAGCTATAGAAATATGATCAATGGATTAGGTGATCTTGAGGGAAACAGAACCAGCCAGAGCTTAAATTTTATCACTAAGTGATACTGCTGTTACAACCAAAGCTTGCATTCCATACAGAAGCATGGGGAAAAGAGTACACAATGTGACATGTGCACAATTGTCCTTTTCTTATAAAGAATTACAAGACCTCAAGTAGCTTATTAGCTCCAGGTTTGGGCTTCAAGTAAGATATGAATCTGTGGAAGACAGTCCTGATGAAAACAGGATACATCAGCTCTTGAGATGTCCTGAGTACCTAAAGAACAACTTCTGGAAGTGGGTTTTACCTGGTAAAGACTGAGGGGAATACTCTGCTTGCTGTTCCTTTGGTGGCTAATGTAATACCCTGAAATCACAGCAAAGAAGGTTCAGGGTGTACATCAAGGAAGAGTTTGCAATGGCAAGTCAAAACAGATGGCCTGAAGACGCTGGAGTGGTGCTATTGCTGGAGGACTTCAGGATGGGTTAGACAAACACTTGTCAAGAACGACACATATGTGTAGTTGACTGTGCCTTGGGGCAGAGCCATGCGGGAGCTGACCTTGCAAGATTCTTTCCAGTCCTACTTTTACGTAAAGAGCATTATGCTGTTTCCTCCCATCCCACACCTTCATTGTTCAGAGTTTTCCTGTTCTGCCTTCAAGCTTTCCCTTATCTCCAGATACTCTCCTAAAAATAACCTTTCTACTGCCTCTTATACTATTTTATGCATATGTAGGAAATACTTCCTGAACAAGACAGTTCTGTGAATGGACAATACCGATCTCAGCCACGGAAAAGGACAGGACTCTCACCATTCATAGCTATGTACTGTGGTTACAGAAAGAAAATTCTTACCGCAGGATTAAGATTTAGACATTCAGAAATATTTCAGCCACCAGCAGGAACAGAGACTGTAGCTGAAGTGACAGCTTTCTATACACGGGGCAGAAAGAAAGGAAGTCAGAGGCAGCTTTGTTTTTCAATATTCGCTCTGGACGTGTCATTGTCATGAGTCTGATACACATTTCGCCACTGTTTGATGTGAGAAAGCTGAAAGGGCTGTGGGTCCTAGTAAGCTTAACCTGAGTGTCCTCCTGTTTTGCCGAGAGGAGTTAGTTTGCAAAGACAAGGTAATTACACTGCATAGTCAGAACGAGCAGCTGAACTCGGAACAGAAGCCCAAGCGGGTCCTACTGCAACACGCTGGGAACAAATCGACATCGCTTTGAACATCTCCTTCCCTCGGTGCTGCTACCGAAGTGCGGGGGTGACCTCAGTCCCCCGCGGTTCGGGGAAGGCTGGAGCTGCTCAGGTTGCGGCCGGGCGAGCTCCGGAAAGGCGGCGCTGCGAGGGGAGTCCGGGGAGACCCCGGCAGGTGAGCGCCCCAGCACCGCCTGGCGCAGCGGGCCGGGCCCCCGGGCGGGGAGCCGCCCGCGGGCTCTCCGCGCGGTTCCCCCCGCATTTCACGTAGCGCCGAGGAGGACGGACCGGAACGGGAATTGCAAGCCCCGTCCCCGATGCGCGGCGGCGATAGAACCGGCGGCAGAACCAGCAGCAGCAGCAGCAGCAGCAGCAGCAGCAGCAGCATCGCCCGGCTCCGGCCCGCGGGCCCCGCGCCGGGCTGTCGCTCACCGCCTCGCCCGCCGGGGGGAACGGCGCGGAGCCGGCGCAAGGCGCACATGGAGCGGCCGGGATGAGGAGGCGCGGTGGGGCGGGCCCGACACCGCCCGTCCCCGGCCCGGCCGGCGCACGTGGTGGCGGGGGGCGAGGGCCGCCCCTCCCTGCCCGCCTCCACGGCGCGGAGGGGCGCGCTGTGCCGCGGCACCGGCAGCAGCCCTCTCCTCCTTCTCCTGTGTTTTGGGTTTTTTTTTTTTTTTTTTTTAATGAACTCTTGCTTAGCAAATTGCGCGTGATGAGCTCATGATGCCGCGCCCCCCCCGCCCGGGCTGGGGCAGGCAGGGGGACGTGAGGCGGGCGGGCGCGGCCAGTGGCGGGGGCTCTGCGCGGCCAGGAGGAGGGGGAGCTCTCGGTCCCACGCTGTTTACTGGACTCGGGTTGTGAGGCTGTTTCATCCTTTTTCTAATATATATATATATCTATATATGTCTGTATATATATATATTTATTTATTGCCCCTCTCCCGCTGCGTGGCGGGTTGTTTGCCGCTCTGTTCGCAGGTGGGTCCATGAACTCCCCCAAGAGCGGCACCGCCGCCGCGCAGCGCCGCGCCGGGGCGGGGGGAGCGGCCGCCAGGTTCGGCCCCGCCGCCGCCGCTGCGGGGGGCGGCCCCGCCCGGGCTCCGGGTGGGCAGGCGTGAGGCGGGCGAAGTTTCTCCGCGGCGCCGGGCCCCTCCGAGGGACTGCGGGCAGGAAAAAACCTGGCCCCGCGGTGCTGGGGGAGCTGACACCGCCGCCGCCAGCAGAGCAGCCCGGCTTTGGCCATGAAGAGGAAACAGAAGAGGTTTCTGCAAATGACGCTGCTCTTCACCGCGGCTCTGATTTTCCTGCCTGACATCGGCCTCTGGTCTCTCTACAAGGAGAAGCACCTGGTGAAGCCGCCCGAAGCCGCCGAGCCGCAGGTAGGTGCGAAGCCTCCCGGGAGCAGAGCCGGGCGCAGGGCGGCAGCCGCCCCTCGGGGCACGGCCCCGGCTCCCGCCCCCGGCGGGGCTGCGGGGGCCCGGCGCCGGCCGGGGCGCGGAGCGGGAGCGGCAGCACGTGTGCCTGTCCTACCGCCGCGCAGGAAAGTTGTGAGAGCATCCCAGTCTGCCCGGCTGGGCATCCCCGGGAAGGGCAAGGGGTGAGCAGGCACAGAGGCTGCCTCTGATATTAGGAGGACGTGGGATTTTGTGTGCTGCGTTGGTGAGCTGAGCGTGATGCTGGGCTCTAATTTTCATTACAAGAAGTGGAGGTTTTACTGCAACTTTTGTTTGCCTGCCTCTCTGCAATACTTCTCGAACTGGTGTGTGGCTGTAGGTCCGCTGAAATTGCTTAGGATCCATGTAGATGTCTTACCACCGAGATTTTTTTTTCCTCTTCTGTTGTAAATTCGACAGGAGTGATTGGCAGTGTTTTTTTATTTTCTGAATATTACTATTGTGACCTGATGTGGCGACGCTGTGTTAAACTGCTTGTCAGACTGATGCCACAAAGAACTTTAAAATATTTTCAGTTTACGGTTTTCTCGATCACTGCTATTAATAAGAGCAGTTGACATAAGCTGTTTTTTGCTTGAGTTATTCTACAGCTTGATGGGTTTATGTATGGCTCATAAATCACAGTACGACCTGTGTTAAGTGAAGTTTAGTTTTAGGGAGTTGTTGTAATGCACTTCTTTATAACCCTGCCTGTAATTTACCAAAGCTTGTGTTTGTTCTGTTCAAGAGTACAATGCTACTATGCCGTAACTCTCAGTGTAATTTGAATATAACATGAATGTATCATAGATCATTGGTAAGAAATTATGGGATTGTATGATCTTTTAGCTTGTTTACCACTAACATAGCCTTCACATTAGAGTGTATTAGATGGCATCATTTATCATTTTAGTGTATTAGTAGCCTTCATTTCAAGGGTCATCACCCATGTATGGTCAATGGCTTCAATTGCGTTATAACATATTTGATTCTTTGTTAATAAGGGTATCCATTACAGAAGTTAGTCCTCCAAGGTATCATAACTTTAGTTAATGAAATATGCTGAATATTATCAGAGGAGGAAGTTAAGGATAGCTTCTTAATTTGAAGCTTACTTTATGTTTCCATGGGTTTTAAAATGCAGTAGGTGTCAGGTGGTAAAATTTAGTTGGAAGTAATTTCTGCTGAAAGAAAATTATACGTGATCATAAGTGTCTGTCATTAGTTTACAAGGTGCACACTGCAGTCTTTGCAGTTTCTAATTTACTTTGTGGCTTAGGAAAGGAAAGTATGCAATGCAAATAATGATTTCCATGTGTGTTGCATGGCTCTTGAGAACACACATGCCTTGAAATTTCTAATGTTCATGAGTGCGCTCTAGGTAGAACATGATTTGATAACACAGGGAGCTTTTCTATTAAAAAAAAAAGGTTCTGGATAAAGTGGTATAATGGTATAAGAAATAAACAGCTAAGCATATGTCAAGGACTAGTGAGGCTTGCTAATGAGATCCAAAAAAATATTACATCCTAAGTTTTCTGAAAAGGTCTTTGTAGTAGCTTCCTTTTTTCTCTCCTTTTTTCCCCCCTTCCCTTTTCTCCCAGTCTGAATACTAATTGAGCAGTAATGGGACTGTTTAATGGAAAAACAATAAAAATGAGCAGTGAAACTTTGAACCTTACAGCTGACTCTAATGTAATTCTGTTATCATGGTAAGTATTGAAATCATGTTGGCAATGTCATTACTCAGTGAGGATGGAAGGTTGAAGTACGGACAAGTAATGCAATTAGGTTACTTAAGTCTTTTGATGTGCACATTATAACCCAAAATACTTACAAGGAACAGGGATTGAATTATGAGTTTGAGTTCAACTCCCTGAAATATAAAGAAAATTGTAAGACTTCTCTGCGACTACCCTAGAAATGAGGTCATACTAGAAAGGACTGCGTTAGAAATAGTATCCTTGTAGAAATGTAACTTCTTTTTCTCTATTAAGTTAGTAGCAGATGCAAGAATTTAAACACTCAGCACAGTTATTCTTTGCCCTTGAGGTATTCAATTTCTTGATACTTAGTGTGACTTAACACAAGTTTAGAGGTCAGACCTACTGAAATTGCAGCAGATTTTTCTTATCTATCCCAAGATCACGTTAGGTTACAAAGGTATGTGTATACAATCAGCACATCATGCTAGTGATGTACAGTTGGACTGTTGTGGTGTGTCCTGGCCATGGGAGAGAGACAGAGCTGTCTGTGACTTCAGTAATTTAGTTACAGGCTGTTTTTGCCTTCGTGGGTAAAATGAGTGTCTAGTTGGTATTCTGACCTTGACAGTGTTTATAAATGTGCTGTCTTGTTTCAAGAACAATTAAATTCATGTTATAGATCATTAGGTGGTTTTGAGGAGATGGCACGGTGAAATGATGTTTTGACTACTTTTAAATTAAGCTTTTTTTCATTGCTGAAACAAACATCCCCAAACTTCCCTGTGAATGAGGGCTCTGTCAGCCTCTCCCAGCACCTCAGCTGCTTGCCACAGCACTGGAGTGAAGGAGGGATGGCAGTCTGATGGAGGAGGTATTGATATCCTGACAGCAGTAAGCAGAGAAGCTGTTTAAAAGCAGTCCACAATGCAAAAATAGTCTGTTTCTATCAATGGTAGAACAGTGTCCCCTGGGGACTGTGTCATTTCCAGTGCCTAGGAGAGGCACTTGTGTTCTTTACTGCTATCTAGAAATTCTAATATGACAAACTAAGTTGACTTTTTTCATTAAAATAGTGCTGCAATAAGTTACATGAGAATTTTTTTTTTCATTGTGCCAGTTCTGTTTCTGAGTAGAGAAGCTCTTTAGGAAAAATTGAAAAATGAGAAAATGATACAACTATGATTTCAGACAACATTAATGATTTTGATCGCTTTACATTAATTTTATAAACATTATTAATCTCTATGAACCTTCATTTAATATAAACTTTTTAAAGCTGTCATTTTTTCACTTGAGAACTTGATAGGCTTGATTTTTTGTAATTTGGTTATTTTTATTTACTTCTGGTTTATCATATTATTTAAGGTGGAACTTCAAGGGTAAATGTACATGTAAAGGTTCCAAGTTATGTGATGCAACCTGATTTCCGTAAAATACAGTTTGGCATAAATGGTAGACATGAGGGGGGGAAAAAAAAAAATTATAGTTTATTTCTAGTTTAATCTTTCGAAGACTGCCTTCCTTGCAATAGCGTGGGAATAAGGGAAATTGAATAGGGTATTTTTATTGCCTTTCTAAAAAAGAAGTCTTAAAAATTCCTTAAAACATTATGGTGTCCTTGAGTTTTGATTACATTTTTTACAGTTAGTTTAACTTTGGAGGGGGAGTTGGTTTTTGTTTTGTCATCGAGATACTATGTATGTGATGCAAGTATCTTGAATGATCTTTTAATAAAACTTCCAAGACCAGGGTGTTTGGTTACTAAGTCACACTGATAAAACTTTTAATTTCAGTTTTGTTTTTTTCCCTGTGAAGGAAAAGCAACAATTTAATGTAACCAGTAGGATGTAATCCTGGTCCAAACCTGGTTATCTCATGCTACTTAAAGTTAGTGTTACTTTGTTTGGCTACAGTAGAGCTTTACCCTTGTCTGTTCATACACTTTATATGTTCATTCATGTAAAAGTACCGAATTTCTTTCAGCAGCTCTCCAGTGTCTGTTATATAGGTATTATATAGGTATAATGATATATGTTTCTTTCTGTTCATATGGGAGGCCAGTGTGGGTGGTGACTGAAAGGCGAGCAGTCTAGTGAAGTAACCCCTAATATATTTCAACTTCATTTTGTATTTTCTTTCATTTATCACATCCCTGCTTCCTGGTGTCAAGTGTTCTCACTTAATTGGATTGAACAGCAGCATCTCTTAGTCACAGTAGCTCTGTAATACTTACAGGTGCATTAGTGAAATGCTTCATGAGGTATAAAGTAAGGAAAGAAGGTAGATTTCTGGCTTTGTTTCACATATGCTCTGGTGTAGTGAGGGGTGCTGCTTCAACCTCCTGAATGAGGCACTTCTACTGGACAAACTGGTGATGGTGTTGGCCCTTTTTTATTTTTGTGCATGGTGTCCAGAACAAAGAGCAAAAGCTGTGCTTTTGTGAGGGGGAAACATTGTTCCATGGGATAGTCGTGGAGCTCTCTTTCCACTGTCCTGTGAAGCCTGTGCTTCCATCTGGTTAGCCCCAAGACTACACCTTTCTCATGGGATAGCGAGGCATGGATTTAAATGAACTCCTTAGGATAAGAACTTAGTCCTTACAAATCCTCGGTCTCTATTGTAGTTGGCAAACGGGCACAAAATCGACTTACTAAGTCTGGTGGTTCTGGAAGTACTGACTTTGTCTTCTGAATACAGAAAGGAACTTCAGCCTGAATCCTGTCTCGCAAACAGTCATTAGTTTCTGAAGTCTGTGAGAGCAGTGAAAATTTAAATTTACCCAGGAATGTAATGTTTATCACTGTATAGCACACAGGTTCTGATAATCACAAATTTTCCAGGACAGTTAACTCTGTCAACTCACTGTTGATGCCAACAAAGTACAAAGCTTGGGGTAGCAAATTCTGCTTCTGGTGCATAAAAGAAGATCTTGAGAGCACAACTTTCTTTGCTTCCCCTGTCCCCCCATCTGTATTTCCCTTGATTTTCTGGTTGATTTCAACAGCTGCAAAATCTTGTACAAAATATGGTTTGGTTAGGACATAAATACGCACCTATTTTATATTATTACACTGTTAGGGCACTGTTGATTACTTATGTATTTAGTTCCACTGTCTCAATTATTTACTTTGCTTTCACAAAAAAGCAAACTTATGAGGCAGGAGAGTTTTGTTTCTCTTTAGCAGAGTAGTAAATAAAGTATAGAGTGACAAACAGGCTCAAGTCTACAAAAGTAGCTCC